TTTTTGGTTCTTTTTAATATTATTAATAGATACTAATATAGGCTAATAATAAACAATTACTTTTTTCAATAAATGTGTATGCAACAATTCTTCATAGACGAATATTATTTTAGGTTTTTCGTCCAAAAGTACGTCACGCTATTTTGGAAAGTATTTACCCCCCCCCCCCCCCTGTCTAATTATATCACAAATTTGGGACCTAATGTACGCCACACTATCAAAATTTAAAATTTGGTTAAAAACAAACAACAAAAAAATAATAAAAAAAACAACAAAACTAATAGTTACAATTTTAATAAAAATCACACTTTATTATTACAATTTTTAAAGTGAAATCTCGTTTCGGAATACACCCATCACAAGAAAAGGTAAGCAATTATGTCAGTTGCAGGTTTATATGTAGGCCTATGATAAAAAACAAATGTTTGACATCATACATGATATCGCGCCCCCCCCCCCCACCTCGTTTTCCCCACTCACACGTTTTGGACCGTGACGTACTTTATGGCCCATTAAGTGCATTTAAAAAAAGAAATTAATTTCATGAAAAAATCTTCTAACTCTAATTAGGTTAAAAAATTAGTTTACTGCTTCGCCCCCCCCCCCCACCTCGTTTTCCCCACTCACACGTTTTGGACCGTGACGTACTTTATGGCCCATTAAGTGCATTTAAAAAAAAGAAATTAATTTCATGAAAAAATCTTCTAACTCTAATTAGGTTAAAAAATTAGTTTACTGCTCTTCAACCTTTTGAATTAAAGGCTGCTTTTCTGTTGACCAGGGATGTCAAACTCAATCGCACGGCGGGCAAAAACTGAAATCACATGTAAGGTTACGGCCCAACTGGATAAACATTCAATGAGCTTATCTTTTAAAAAAAAAAAATATAAAAAGGAAAACAGAAAAAAGTTTTAATAATCAAAAATCTATGGCGTATCAATTTTCGTTCTTATGCCATTTTGTCAGAGCTGGATGTTTGGCACATTTTTTTTTTTTTTTGGCTACAAAAACACGTAATTTTGTTTTCGTTTACCAGGAATCAATATTCTCCTGCGAGAGATGCGGTCGAGATTGTCATTCTAGGATTGGACAAGTAAGCCACTCGTTGAAGTGTAGGATTATATAGCTACTCCATCGTCTCACGAAGATGGAAGGATGCCATATAATAACGTTATGCGTCATTGAGATTCCCATGATGAACTGCAAGTGTTCATCAGTGAGACGACTCCTTTGAGATGTTTTGTTAATCTTCATCACAGAAAACAGCTGCTCACACATATATGTGCTACCCAACTTGCTTAAGGCTCGAGGCGCATGTTGACGAAGTTGGAGCATCTCTTCAGGAATAAAACAAGTGGACTGTGCAGGCCCGACTGTGTCGTACTTTGCCTTTAGTGTCCCATTATACTGCAGCTCTATTAGCTCCATCTGCAAATTTACAGGTGCAGTATCAACGTATATATCAAAATGGGTTGGGAAACAGCTCGAAATTACATTTGTGTGTTTCAAAGTAACTAAAGCGCCTTGCGAATCCAGCGCAAAGTAAGCTACATTTTTCAGCAAAGTGTGCATTTGGAAACCCCATAGCGTTGACTTGGATGTAATTTTACGCCGGCCAAGGCCTCGCGGGCCTGATATAATTGTTCCGCGGGCCAGATGTGGCCCGCGGGCCTTAAGTTTGACACATGTGCTGTAGACGAATCATGTGGCGCCCCTACCCCCTCTCCAACAACCATCACCCATAATAAATATTGTTTAAAGCTTACTGATAAAAAGAAAATATTGAATATAATCCTCTTAAATACCTCCAATATTTCTTAGACATTAGACCAGTGGTTCTTTTACTTTATTTCGACCACCACCCTATTGGGAACAAAAATCATCTATAGCACCCCAAACCGGTTGCCTTAACCAATTTTAAACGTGTAATTTTAAACAAGAATCCGTTGTTCATAATTACAACTCACACTCAAGAACTCAACAGTTATTCACACCGCACAAATATTTGACGAAAGTCTTGCAACAGACTTATTTTAAGGAAAACGAAAAGCTAAAGGATTTTCAAAACAGAAAAAAAATATGTACGAATAATATTTTTTTTTTTAAATATATAAATTCGTATCTTTAAAAGTATCTAAATAGTTAACATCAGGTCAGTACAACTCAAAATTTAAGCCGGGCCGTAATACTTTATGAAAAACGTGTGCGGGCCGTAATACGTTATGAAAAACTCGTGCGGGCCGTAATACGTTATGAAAAACTCGTGCGGGCCGAAAGATAATAGGACGGGGGGGGGGGGGGGAAGCTATTAAGAAAATAATAATAATAAAAAAACATTTCGTTACTTCGCGGGCCGCCAAGTGGGTGCTGGTAGGCCGCATGCGGCCCGCAGGCCCAGTGGTATGCAGGCCTGGCTTACATGCTCCTCTATTGAACATATTTACACAGAAGAATGAAAACTTTTGGTTTAATAAATCCGATAATAAGCTGCTTAAGTTGATCAGGTCATGCACGCCTCAGGTCCAGTTAAAAATCGAAAGTCTTTACTGGTCAATTATTCTTAGGCGATAATGCTTTTGGTAGGTCACAGTAGTCTTTAAATGCCTTTTGTTAAGTCTCATAGCAGAAACGTCATTCACATTCTCCGCACTGGGATGCTATTTCTAGGACCGGAGATGAGCTGGACGGCAACAGTATGATCACTTTCCGACTATTACAATGTTATGAGCCAATAGGGATCTTCAATTTTATAATCAATAATGATGAGTTTTAATCCAGCGATCATTGAGTTTTCAGCAAACGAAATGATTGCTAAATGAATGATACAATGATTGCTATATGAATGACACAATGATTGCTATATGAATGACACAATGATTGTTAGGAAATTTAAAAAAAACAAACTTTTGTACGATTGTGACCTGTCATTGATGTTTATCCATCTGTTGCGATGTTGTATATTACTAAGAGGGATTTCCTTTTCGCTAAAGAACTACAAAACAATTTTTTTAAAAATAAATAAATAAACTGACCACCCCTCGCATCTAACTGTCTTGCAAATGACAACATTTGATCCGTACGTTAAACAAACAAGGATTTATATTATATTATCTCGTTAATCTTGCTCATCCAGTTGTAATCCAAACTCATTTCACTTCGGATACTCGACATGGATAATATTATGTTTTTTTGTTTGTTTTTTTTTGCTACTTTCACGATTCAGAAAAGAACACTGCAAGGTTATATCACACGATGCACTCAGGCCATGGTTGTTTTGATGAGAAGCGTTAAATCACCACTGAAACTATACAGCAAATATGCCAAGACTGTTTAATGCCACTAAGTGTTGTCAGTTCCAATCGACTGGCTAGGACCATGCACGGGATTTTTTGGTCGGCCCCCATAAAGTTCAAAATAATTTTTATTTATCGCTTTATTTTCGTACTTGGAGGTTCATTTGTGGGCATGGCCCCGAGTGATTTACTCAGTTGCCTTGGCCTCTGTACGGCCATGTGTCAAGCTGTGCAAAGTTCAAAATATTTTTATCTATCGCTTTATTTTCGTACTTGGAGGTCCATTTGTGGGCATGGCCCCGAGTGATTTACTCCGTTGCCTTGGCCTCTGTACGGCCTTGTGTCAAGCTGTGCATAGATGGGAACTGGTTGCCTTGGCCTCTGTACGGCCTTTTGTCAAGCTGTGCAAAGTTCAAAATATTTTTTTCTATCGCCGTTTTTTCGTACTTGGAGGTCCATTTGTGGGCATGGCCCCGAGTGATTTACTCCGTTGCCTTGGCCTCTTTACGGCTTTGTGTCGAGCTGTGCATAGATGGGAACTGGTTGCCTTGGCCTCTGTACGGCCTTTTGTCAAGCTGTGCAAAGTTCAAAATATTTTTATCTATCGCTTTATTTTCGTACTTGGAGGTCCATTTGTGGGCATGGCCCCAAGTGATTTACTCAGTTGCCTTGGCCTCTGTACGGCCTTGTGTCAAGCTGTGCATAGATGGGAACTGGTTGCCTTGGCCTCTGCACGGCCCTGTGTCTAGCTATGCATAGGTGTGAACTGTTGTTAATGGCCGCGGTATATCTAAGTTGAAAGTTTGCTCAAAGAACTCGTTGCTCTCACTGTTTTATGTGATTTATAAAAATTAGATAAGTTTGTATATCAATCTCTCTAATTTGATACCGCAAATGTAGTTTATTATATTTAAAATATTTAATTATAATGAAAAAGCGTATTAATTATAAATTTCAACTGGGTCCCCTTTAACATTCCCAGCTTCCCAACACACCGAAAAAAAATTCCCAAACTTTTCAGGGATCCCCCTTGCCACCCCAGCGCTCCGAAGAGTGGGGGGGGGGGGGGGGGTGGCCCCCCCCCCCACTTTGACAACCACTGTTCTAGACAATGATTTTTAAAAATGCAAGGCTAATCTTTTAGTTTCAAAATGCCTGAATTTCCTCGTAAATAACTTTTAAATTAAATTATATTTATGTCAGTTGATCATAAACATGTTTAGTACCAAGAAACACTTAATTGTTCTAGTTCTACTAATGCGAAATTAATATTAACATTGTTATTAAGTTTTTTTATTTAAACATAAATAAAATTCAAATTAAATTTACTGATAAGATTTACCCACAAGATTTATTTACCATTTAAAACTCTCTCTATTTTTTTTAAAACAGCAAATAAAAATCACTTTCTGTTGTCAATCTTTTAGAAAAAAAAAATGAAAATAAAAAAAAAATAAATAAAAAAAATTTATTAAATATATTAAAAAATGTAATGGTAAAAAAAAGATTGCAACATTAGTTTACAAAAAACAGCTTTTTTACCTTCAAAACATATTAATAACGTAGCTTTACCAAATTAATAAATATAAAAAGCTTTTTAAAAAAATTATAGGCATAATAAATAATTATTTAATTAATATTTTCCCCAGTTTTTAAATTTTTCTCAAATTTCTTATACAGTTTATCATGCCTTAAAAGCAAACTCTTACACCGTAACATGATGGATAACTCTAAATTCTACATTTAGTTTCCTGTAAAGGCAAGGTCAATCCAATTTCAAAACAAAACATTTTAAGATGCCGTTTACAAATGAAGAATACTTGCCTAGCTATGAAGAACTTACAGTTCCAGAACTAGAAATTACTTCTTCTGTTTTTAGATCAGCAGCCTACCATCTTGGGAAATATTGCGATAATGCAAGCAAGGTAATTGGAGTGAACTATTCTATAGTCTATTTGAAAGTATTGATTATATTACTGTCAGTGACAGACTTACCGTTAGTATTGACTTGTAGTAGTAGTAGCAGTTTGAGTTAGTTACCATCGTCAGATCGGCTACAAAGCTATTTAGTATTATTATTATTATAAAATATTTGTTATCATATTTTGTTCAAGTTGGTACTGTTGGTACACACTGAATAAAATTTAGGTAATTGTATGCTTGACTTTGACGTTTCCACCAGTTCTACATTTTTAATAACACAGTTAGTTAGAGCAAATTTCAAATTAAAAAAATGAAACCAGAATCAACTTTTTAGCTTAAGTACTTTTTGATCTACGAACTTTTAAAGTGTGAGTTCGTTTGGTATTTTTTACTATGGACGAAACCTCCACATCTTGTGACCTCATTCCGCTGATCGCTTCATGCACAATGACTATATACTTTATATAAGGCAACGCATCGCCTTAGGGTCGACTTAGTTTAAACTTTCAACTTTGGCACATGAATAATTAATTAAAGCTTTCCCTGACCAATGGTATAATAGTTATTGCACACGGCAAACTCTTATGAATGAAACTCTGAGGTAGTACTACGATACAGCAACTATGCAAGTGGCTGTGAAGGGTTGCCAATGACAACATGTTGCACACTGTAAATTCTGATCATTTATAATATGGACTCTACCGGGTTTTTAAAGCTCAAACTAATACATTCCAGTTTAAATGTCTTCAAAATGCATTCTGAAACACAAGTTATCAAATATTTTGATGTAAATAGTGGTAATAAATTAATATTTCCTAAGTATCGGCAATTTCGGCCATTAAAAAGGGGGCGTGGCACACCCCATGACGAAATCAGGTTGAGGGAACTGCATGACCTGCTGCGAACCCGTAGAAACATGGCGTCTCTCGTAAAACACATATTGCTGTGAAAATTGGCATACATGTAGATCAATACATTCCCCAGATGCAAAAAAAATTTGGTAGTGACAAATCTTTTACTTTGACTTAATTTTAATGATGAAAGTTGCCTTATAGTTACCAAGGATTTTCTCAAAGCTGACCGATTGTAAATGAAAAAGAAATTGATTAAAATGTAGGCCAAGATGTCCTCTAAAGCGAAAGGTCGGAAGAGGGACACAATTCTGGGATATAGTAATTATTTTATTTTATGAATGAAATAGTTCCACTATCAAAAAATTAAAAACTCGGATTTTCACGCGCCGACGCCTATTTCCCATACAAATATTTTAGCAGTCTCCCTTGCTTCATCGAAGTCCCTATACTCGAGTCTACTGTGTTTTTGCACTAGTGATAGTGACACTAGTTTTTTTTCACTCAGACGCCATCTTTGTTGCCATCACCATGAAGAGGGCAACCATGCAAAAACAAAGTAGTGCAAAAACTGCCTTAAAAATCAGCAGAATTTCAGACATTTTACAGGGGAAAAGTGTTAAAAATTAACAAAAAGTAAAGCAAATTTAAATGAATTTTCTATTTGAGAAAAATCTTGAATTCTTAAATTTATAACTCTCTACCTAACCTGAATCCTAAGTTATTATCCCTACCTCAAGCGTAAATTCACCCCAAAATTTATTCCTCCCTAACTAAAGCGTAAATTTATCACTAAATTTTAAATATTCAATTCTAAAATCTGTGACCTAACAGTAACATGAACCCTAAAACCATGTTTGTGTGTGCCACAATTTGGGCCTAAATACTATTGACAAAATTGTAAATTAGATAAAAAGGATTAAAATTATTTTTAAAATATTAAAAATAAAGAAAACCAACTTTAACAGTATCATCAAATACCCTTCTACACACTTTATAAATCTCCCCCAAAAAATTCAGAAAAGTCTAAATCCATTTTACAAATTTATCAGACAATGACCCAGTCAAAATGGCACTCAAATAAATGGCCTCGTTTTGAAATGTTAAATGTTATAATTAACCACCCAATGAAATATTAATTTAAAAAACCCATCAATGAGATAAATTCAATTGGCTTTTTATTGTAAAAAAAAAAAAGAGAAAAAATAACTCTTAGTACCAATGCATGACTAAAAAAAGAGGAGGTCCCTCAGCAGAATCTTGGGAGCGAAACGTCAAGTGTACATTGTTGAAAATTTACATAAATTGTATGGCTTTAGGTTATAATTAAGTACTTCAGGAAAAAATGAATAAAAAATTTTAAAAATTATTAAAATAAACTTAAAATAAAAAATAAAACCAGAATCAACTTTTAGCTTTAGTAATTTTTGAGCAATGAAATTTTAGTACCTCCATGTTTTGTGACCAAATTTTGCTGATTGCGTCATGATCCATAATTCTTGTTTAAAAATTATTTTTTTGCAACTTTTATTTTCAGGCTTAATCCTTTTTTTAAAGCTCCAATTTTAAAAAATAATGATATTATGCAGTTAAAACAAAATTGTACCATATCTACCTATGTAATATGGATTATCAGTAAATTTAATAAATACAATATGGTTATTCTGTTTACCAAGCTAAGGTATCCATGAAATATATAATATAGTCTTTTTAAGGCATGGTGTCCACCTAAAAAATAATACTGGAATGGGAGTGTCAGTTTCTAGAAGTGGTACTCCTCTACACCACTATTACAAACTGCATGGCCATATACTTGAGCCAGTTTTCTCCGTAAGGTACCTCGGTGTTACCATTCAAAGAGAAGTCTGCTGGGACTAGCATATTAACAATGTGTGCAACCAGGGAAAAAAACGACCCTGGGGTTCATAAGTTGAAATCTGAACATTGGCAACTCCAGTGTGAAAGAAAGGGCCTATAAAGCCTTTGTCCGGTTGCTTTCCGATAACGCATCTTCAATTTGGGACCCATTCACTCAGAAGAGCATCGACAGGTTGGAGGTGGTCCAACGACGAGCAGCACACTTTATTCTGAACAGCTACAGGAACATATCTAGTGTTGGCAGCATACTGGAAATACTGGGCTGGACACCATTGGAGGAAAGAAGACGATTATACATCTCTATGATGTTCAAGATAAATAATGAGCTGGTCCACTGCTCCAGCATTAAACAGAAACTCATCCCTCTCACCCCTGACAGGAAAGAGGCCATGACAGGGAGTTCCGGTTCATACCAGCAAGAACACAGTACAGGGGCACAGTACATTATTCCCGTCAAGGACAATCAAGGACTTGAACATGCTTCCAAAATTAACAGTTGAAGCGACAACACTTGACACATTTGTGTCTTTTGCCTCATGCCTTCCAAACCCTAGTTCCTGATACCCTTACTGAGCAGCCCTTGCAACCAGTGAAATCTCCTCAGCGCAGACAGACACATAATCATTGTAAATCACTCTACATACATGGGAGCCAGAATGATCAATACATTGATCGTGGGCCTTTAATCTATAGAAGGAGAAGAAGAAGACTGTGTATTTTTAAATGAAACTATTATGATAATACTATAGAGTGTATCACATGCAAGTGGAAGTTAATAGTTACCCATGATGTTTTACACACAGCAACTTATTATAATTTATAATATGGACTCCAGTGTTCATCCTTTGCATGTGAAAATGACCAAGGCTACAAATTTTGTAGTAGCCTTGACTTGAGCTATATTTAGTTTTAATATAGGGCAGGGCAGTTGCTCCATTCATCAGAATCACTCTCTCATTCTTTCCTATTTGTGCCAATGGCAAGACTTAGTCAAGACTACTGGAAATAAACCAGGATGCAGTGGATAACCAGCAGATTTTCTTGTGTCTCACTGTACTCTTATTTTCATTGTGTCAGTTTCATATCGCCTACGGGACTCTATCTCCATGTTTAATTTCAGATTTTGCCTGATCGTAGATCAGTTGCCATCCATTGTTAACAAGTCCCATCTACCTGGGACGTTGGTGATATTTTTGCAGGGGATTGAACTCCAGTCCACAAGCTTGGGATTGGCCTAGTTTAATCCCCTCTTCTGGATTTTTAAATCTCAAATAAAAATATTTTGATTAAATCCCTTCTAAGTTCTAAAACGCATTAATCAAAATTTTAGTGTAAATAATGGTAATAATTGAATAATGTTTAAGTATCGCTGACTTCCGCCATTAAAAAAGGGGCATGGTCACCACCTTATCGTGGTTGGGCTGATTGAGTAAAACTAAGGTCCGACATACCCTAATTGAATGAAGATTGGCTCACATATGCATCAATAAATAATGCTCAGGAATATTTAATATGAAAGACATAGATATTGAGTTTGTTAAAAAAAAATTAGAGAAAGATGCCTTATGATATTATCTATGAATTTTGAAAATTAAGTTCAATTGAAAAGGCAAAAATCTATGATGGAAATGTAGGCCAAGATGTTCACTACTGTAAACATATGGATGATTACCACAATTTTATGACTAAACAGTCCTTTCATTAGTTAAAAAGCACTAAAGGTCAAAAATTAAAAACTTGAATTCGTCTGGGCCAACACTTACTTCCCATACAAATTTTGAAGTGGTCTCCCTTGCTTTACTGAAATGCCTACTATTGTTTATTAGGTTAAAAGAAATAATTTTTTTTAGCTTTGTAATTGTTACATTGTAAATTCACTAAAATACTAACGAATTGGCATATTTTATTAAATTTGTATTATTTATAGGCCTTTTATCTTTAAAAAAAAGAATGACCCTATTTCATTAATCAATAAGTTATAGACCTATGATTTTTACTATACAACTTGTGTCATTCTGCACCTGAACAACAACCATTTTATTTTTTAATAAATTGTACATAGTAGAGGCTGAGCACAATTCTTTAATGAAGCTCTGTCCATCTTTTGTCATTTAAGGCAAACATCTGTTGTGGTCTATATAGGGACCAGTTCCATCACAGAGGTGCTCTTATACTAATACTAAAGAAAACAGACGTTAACATACAGTTTACCGCAAATAATCAATAGCCTATTTATTTATTTTAAATTCTTTTTAAAATTATATTGCTTATGGCTGAAAACTGCACACAATTTTTTTTACTCCCATTCATCAATGACAAACTAAATTTAAAGGTTAAGTGGTATGTTATCAACACATTTCATCCACATATTTTATTTTTCAATAAAAATTATATTTTGATGCATGATGTTGATATTTTTTTTCAACTTTATGGCCAATGCTTACTTTAGAGATTAGCCTTTTGAAAGTTATTTGTGAAAAAAAAAAGAATATGAAATAACTTGTAAAATAGAAAATAAAAGCCTATAAATAAATTTTTTTCTTTTCATTTGCTTAATTAGCTAATCTATTTTTATGACTTTTTTTTTAGGGATTAGTGATGTGGGAAGGTTCCAAGAGGTACTCATAAATAAAAAGTTTAATCAAGGGTTATGGGAGAAAAAGATGTTGGGAACTGCTGCTCTAGAGTAAAAACCTGGTACTGTACACAGAGTCTCAAAATCCTTGTACACAAATTTAAATAACCTATACTATAATGATTATAACTAAGGCCTACACAAAATATAAAAAGGTTAAATAGTTGTAAATCGAATGGTTTATTACTATTTTCGTCAGTAATAATTTCTTTTTCCATCCATTTTTTCGTCACGCTATCTGTATAGGTTCTCAATCTGTAACAACAGGCATTTGTAAATTTTAAAATGTAAAAGAGATATAATTGTGTCACCATTGAGTCTATTATTAATTTCAGCTTTTAATTTTTTTCTGTTTTTCAAACATTCAGTATGGTCACTTACATCTTTGGTGAAATACCAGTAAAATAATCTTTGAGTTTTTTTCAATGTGAAAAGTGAGATGAGGCCAGATGGAAAGGGATTAAACAAAGCATTCCCTTTCATGCACTGTCAGACATGTGATATTTGTTTGTGTTATACTTTTTTCAAATTCATTTCAATTATTTCCAGGAATTCATGCTGTGTCGCACTGAAGAGAGGGATCCCAGGAAATGTCTGAATGAAGGGAAGGAGGTAACTCGATGTGCCTTTGAATTCTTAGGTAAAATAAAGAAGTCCTGCTATGCTGAGTTCAATCAGTACATGCAGTGTATTGATCATTCTGGCAGTGAAATGGAGCTTAAAAAGTAAGAGTAAATTACCATCTTATTTGTTTGAGTGGTTTTATATTAAGTAAAAGGTAGCAATTTGTTCAGGGACATCAGCTCACAGTTTTGGAGCCTATAAATTATGCTCATGAGCTTGTTCAGAAAAACGGGCATAGGTGGGTTGCTTTTAAATGGTTGTAGACAGCAGACATTGGATCATAGCTGTTAAGGATCTACTTCTTTTAAATTTGATAGAAAGTTTTGAAGGAAGCCTGATGTATTGAATCTTTGGGGAAGTGGTGTTAATATTATGAATTTATGTATTGAATAAAAATGAAAACTATTCTGATGTAATAAAGATCATTTATTTTTTCAATGTTGCCACGTCAACTCTGCAGAATGAAATACCAGAAATTGACACTTTACCTAGTCAATCACTTTCTAATCCATACAAAAAAAGCTCCATAGTAAAGGATTTAATGATATTTAAGAAGCAATTAGTATACAGAAACTTTATTAAAATAATCATCTTAGTGTAAGGGGAGGTTCAGTATTACTGTTTGTGGGTAAGCAATGTCATATGTGAAATATAAAATGGTTTTGCCTAAAAGTTGCAAATTGCATTTTAAATAACAAATAATTTAAATTTTGTCAGGTCCTAAAACTACAATTAGTCTTTCTTAATATATTTCTGAATTTGAATTAATAAAAAAAATGTTTTCCCATCCTAGTATTTTGTGGTGAATGATTTTAAATATTTTATGTTCTACTAATTCACCCTAAACTGAGTTTGGCAACGAATCACTTTTTTAGAAAGTAATGTTTTCATATTTTGTAATAATTGGTTCTCTCCATCTTTTACAGTTGTCGCCAAACTCAGGCCACGTTCGATGCTTGTGTCAAACAAAATTTAGGACAGGACCGCCCTGAGGTTGGTTATTTTGCTAAGGTGAGACTTCACAAAACTGACCGGCCCAGGCCAGTCCCAGCTCCACACATTCTCCCGGAGCGTATACCTGACCCTCCTGACTTTGACCAGAAGACCGACCCAAGCAAAGGACCCAGAATGATTTAATGTGTTAATTATTAAGAACTCAATGTATAGCAAATGTGTTGTTTGATGATTCAGTTTCTTAAGTACCTGTCTACACTGGAACAGCTTGTAACTTAAAATACATGTTTAGGACGTCATTTTATAGGAGCCCATTCTTTGAAGGGGCCAAGTTTGAGTTAACCTGGTATTGTTTGTGCTAATGAAGTTACAAATAAGGGTGTTAATTGTGACCAGCAGTGTGTAATCATGTGTTTGTACAGAAACCCTTGCTGGGAACATTTATGTGTAAATTTGTGATTTATTGTTTACAGTGGGGCAAAGAAGGAGTTATAGAGACTAAATAAATTACTGTTTAAAATTTAAACCAAAGGCTTTTGTTACTTTTTCTTTTTGTACTTATTGTTTTTATCTTAGTTTATCTCTATTTCATGGAGAAAGCAAATTTCATGATCATTTTTCAGTTAATATCTTTATTATAACTTTGCCAAGCAAGTACATAAAACATATTTGAAAAGAGTTTACTAGGAAACAGTTATTTAACATTATATTTACTATAACGTTACATGCTCACGATGGCTATTCCTTAGTTTCCAATAGATGGTTTCTATTTAAATTAGACGACAATTTACATTGGAGTTTGTAATTATCGTTGAAAGATTTTTAAAGTAAAGAAATGGACATAAAATATTATATACATGAAACAAAATATTATATACATGAAACATCATTGCAGTATAAAACACCCCTGACCATTTTGTAGGTCTGTCTTCTTACTGACTTGTTCAAACCAACAGTTCTTGTGACCTGTTAAAACCCACTGCTATTGAAATTCAACCACACGTGCAATACGATTGCAAGAATCTCTGTCATATCACTTGCGTTCATAAGAAATACATGCATTGACAGTAATCACTAAATGTCATTTTAAGGATCAGTTGACCAAGTGGGCGTAATAATTACTAGAAATTGTGATGCTTTTAAATTTTAACTAAGGGAGGAAACTTATTAAAAAAATATAACACGTCAACTTTGTTTTGTGATATCCCTTGAATATATTGCAAACTTGATTCTCGGGCATATTTCATGGCTGTCAAAAAAAAATCTTCACCCATTCTGTGGCACAGAACCGGCCGAGGGAGAGAATCACACAGTTATTTGAAATGCGCAGTTATGGGGGGAGGGGAGGGGCTAGCTACCGTCAGGCTGCTTTTGGGGAGGGGGCTTGGGGTGGAAAGACCTCCGGCAGGTGGTTTACACTTTGCACTAAGCTCGGTTCATCTGCCCTTACTCTACCGATAACGAACTTTCAAAGGCTGTGTCACATCATGGCAAGCGCTAGCACGAAGAGACGTATCATTGGCATCCCCAACTTTCGTTACAGTGGCGTAGCTAGGGGAGGTGGAGGGGGTCCAAATTCGAAGGTCCCCCCGGGCCCCTCGTTGAGGGGGCCCCCAAATCACTAGCTACGCCCCTGTTTCGTTACATATCTAAATATAATGGATCGATCAGTATTGTTTACTCCTATTTTTCTGTGGCCGGCATTGTGTTGATTCTGAATACATTACTGACATAATTTTTGTTGCATTTCACGCAATTTGTCACCAATTAGAAACATACACTGACAGATAACGTCGATAGGCATTACTCTGTTGCAAGTTCGTATTCCGACGGCCCGAATTCAGCTCTGCTCTTGCCATCATAGACAGCCTCACTGTAGTCATTGTGACAACTGAATATCTTGGTTAGAGCATTATCCGAGGACTTACTTGCGATTGGCTCTTCGATTTCAAGGCGGCTCCTCCGATGAGCTAATGCGAGTGTCCGACTATCATCCGTGTCTGGAAGAGTGTTGTAAGGATTTTTAATATCTCGACTTTTCTCACCAAGCCTGGAATATTCACCGACCGGAGGATTTGATGCTAACGTTTCCGTTTTCCCCCGAATGTTGTCTGATACCGAACGATTTATGCTAGTGGCGAGTTCGTAGTTAGGAGATGAAGAGTCTTGCATGATTTTTGTGGGATCTTGGTCTTTGAGTGACGTTGGTGGCTTGCCACAGTTGGAATAAGTATTATTATTGTCTACACCTTTTAATTGACCGTTGTTTTGTGGTGTAAGGTCAATCGTGGAATATTCGAGGACCGAGCAAGCGAATTCGGAATCTGTTAGTGAATTATTATAGATGCCGTTGAAGGGATCCGAAAGGTAATTAACATAATTTTGCATGTTCGTTTCATTCAAATTTGATTGATCACCCATTCCGATATTGTCTTCTGGTAAGTTCTGAGGGTTTGTATAATCAATAGTGCTATAGCCTTGCATTTGATGAGATAATTCTACCTCGTCTCTTTGTCCATTCATGTTTTTTCTGTCGCCTTTGCTGAATTTTAAGCGTGACTGAATTTTGTTTCTAACAGATTTCAGAGCAATGGAGATAGTTTCTGTGCCTGACCTTGAGTGATCGTTTGCGTCGTTATTGGACTTGGTGTGTTGTCTTCTACGATAAAAGACAACTACTGCCCCGGTAACAATGGCAAGGATAACCACAACCGCCATAACTACCCCAACAACGATAGAAGTATTGTTACTGTCTTCAATGTGACTATCTAACTTTTTGGTAACAGATGTTGTGATTTCTGAAATGTTTGTAGTATTATCTTTATGTGAACTTTGTTGCACTGGAGATGCGCTCACCTTTATTGTTGTTTTTTGTGATGTAGATTTGACATTTGCTGTAGCTCTTGTTGCTTTGACAGTAGTTGATGTTGTTGAAAGACACACTGGTGCTAAATCGCCTCCGTTCACCACAAACATATCATTATTCGATAGCTCTACATTTAGCGCATTCTTCCAACTTATTTGAACACAGGTCAAGTCACAATTACTTGTACCAGTATAAAAGTGATTTGGTAACAATACTGTTTTAAATTCACTTTTTAGTCTGCTGCAAAAAACATTTTGCGGATAAAACTTTTGAAATTCACAAAAATAATGATTCAAATACCAGTCTTGTAACCAAGAAAATGTCATCTCCTCTTCTATTCCTTCGACTGTAGCTACTGTAAACCGTTCATGTGTCATCGACGACAAGTCCAGGTTACATTTTCTTGATGATTTATTACAGAGACAATCCTTGAATCTGATATTGAAAAACAAAATATCGTTCGCTGTTACTGCATACTAAAAGTACTATTATTTTCATATGTAAAGAAAACAACCATTGATCATGCTTAATTCAGTTTTAAAACATTGTTTTAAGTTAACAAACTGAGAAAAGGATCAAGTAATAGGCCTATATAAAACCGACTTTGAACTTTTGGCTTCCTAAATGTTCCGATTAAGGGTTCAGAGTCAATCTAAAAATGATGGGTCCATTATAAACACTGCAGTGCTTTATTTTATTTTTTTTTAATTTAGAGAAAGAGTTGAGTTTGAATACTACATAATGGTGTAATTTAAAAAAAAAATTAAGTAATATTATACCAAATTACAGATTCTTTTTAAATGATTACATAATAGAGATATTTAATGGATCCAAATTACTTTTGATAATAAAAGAACTTACATACCTGGTCAAATACGAGTTTTTATAGAACAAGACTGATAAATGGTATAGATCATAATCTTCATCCTCATGATAATTCACTGTAAGATTTAGCTTTAGGCTATGGGAATGGGCATGCGTATAGCACATTATCATTGCCAATATCAAAGTGCAAATTTCGTTTTTCATTTTCTGTCTCCTTTAAATAATGTCGCAGCTAGATGATGAAATAGAAAAATAAAATACAAAACATGGAATAAAGTTGCTGTTTTAAAGAGAGAAAGACTTGGAGACAAGCAGATAAAAATCATGCATCATGATGTACAACAAACTGACTTAAGGTCGGGAGACATATTACGTGTATATGTTAAATCAGCACTTCGCAAACTTGTTATGCTTATTGCCCACAAATATTTTGTTCCAGAATCAGTTCGAGGGAAACTGATCTAATCTACTTAAACCTTATCTCAACATTCTATTTATGTTATTATCTGTGTCTGGATTGGTTATTAAATGCTGGGATGCGTTTCACATAAATAACCCATTTAAAAATGGTTGCAAGAAAAAAACAAAAACAACCAACAAAAATCATAAAACACATTTCATAAGAAAGCAGCTTTTGAAAGATTCGAGTTTATTACTATCAACAGAAAACCTCAATGAAAAGAAAATGACCGTCACCTCAATACATAAAAAAGTAAGTATGACCTAATATACTTAAACTTAAAAGGACAAGATACTGAATTCCAAACCAAGCGATGTCTATAAATGTAAAGCCTTTAACAAATCGTTTGTGTGCTTTTATAAATTTTTACACTGTTACTTGAAATAGCTAGCTAGCAACCCAGCAGTTATTACAGAAGCAGCCAGTAAGCGAACGACTGAAACTATTGAAAGGGGATAATTTAAATCAAACTGAATAGAGTATCTATAACTATAGCCTTGTTTGAATGTTTAAGTATCCTGGTTGCAGAGCTAACTAACTCAGAGAGACGAAGGGCTCAATTTACATCCTCTCCGCTTCCCTGTTTGGTTTCAAACGTCTTCTCCAATCACTATGTAGTGATAAGGGTTACCTTAATGTAACAGCTGAGTATATGACGTTAATTTTTGCGTCGATTCTCAGTGCCATAATGAAAGTCTCAAGCGCATTTCATCAGAGAAACCTCACTAATACACTTTAAAAAATTCATATTATTGTCAGCTTATATATGTCTAGCATAAGAAACACGTTTTTTTTTTTGGTTGAAATTATCAGACAATGTGTCTCATCTCTCAGTGTTCAAATATTTGCTCAAGTTTACCTTTGAAGAGAAATATCAAGTTTTCGGAGAAGGCGAAACAAGGGTGTCTTACAGCAATGTCAGCCATTTATCATTCAACAAAGGTGAGGGAGTGAAGTTTCGCTAAATTAAAACTGATGTTTTGATTCTTTCTCATTTCGACAATACTTTAAAGCAGGCCTGCACAACTCAAAATGTAAGGCGGCCGTAATAATTTAAGAAAAACCTGTGCGGGCCAAAAGAAAATAGGACGGGGGAAAGCTATTAAGAAAAAAATAAGAATAAAGAATATTTCGTTACTTCGCGGGCCGCAAATTGGGTGCTGGCGGGCCGTATGTTGTGCAGGCCTACTTTAAAGTAACTTCCTCTTTATAGTCGTCACTCTTTTGCAAGGACAAGGTCAAGGACATACTTCGTGTTGCGAAATTTGTATCCAAAGTCTTTATCTTATTTATTACACCTCACGACTTGAAATAACTCGGCTTCTCAAGTCTATTGATTTTTTAAGTTAAACTTCGAACCGTCTCTACTCCTTAATATCCACTAGCCATGTCCTTTTAAATTAGTTGCCATATCAATAATTCTGCTCTTTGTTATCACGATCCAATACGCTAAATGAATAGGGCGCTTCGAGTGATAAAAGAAATTAAAAAAAACTTATTCTCAGACCAGGTGGACATTTTTGCGAACCAGCACCTGTTCCGGGGCCGTTTGTTGAAAAAAATCTAAATGTCACTACTTGCAATTGTCACATTTTATAGAAAACAGACGTACCTTCATGCGTGTAGAAAATAAAGGTTTAAGTTAAAGCTACGAATCCTTGAGATGGCACGAGAAATTAGATTCGAACCAAGAAGATGTGAGATTGTTTTAAACACAACCGATGTTTGAGCATGTCTTCTGTTTGTGCGAGTCAACCCGGATGTTTAAAGTGTAGGCTAGAGATTAGAATATGCTGGGTTACCTGAACCGCGCACAGATAAGTCCAGGTCCATGGCCCGTACTTGACTATAGTTTTGACACATCATTTATTGTAGAAAAGATAATGCATGTTTACATTGGCATCTGAGTCGATGGCAAATTACGCCACGTTTAACATATTTACGTTAACCTGTTTTACTTTGATGTTTATCGATTTCGTGAATTACAGTTGATACATTCTCAATTTCGTGGGAAAATAAAAAGTTTTATAAAACCAACAAAACCTGCAACAGCCTAAATTTCGAGCAATTGACTTTACAAAGTAAATAACATTTAGTCAATAGTATCTCAAACTTTGAACACAGTATTACGTGGAAAATAATCACGGATTATCGTGGATCGTAAAATAATAAATTTTCATTTACCGGTAATGCACATTTTTTTTTAGACTTCCAATCTTTATATAATAATTCTAATTTACGTTAGAATTACACTTATTCAGTTCAGTAAAATAGCTGACATCTTTGTATTGAATTATGTTGATGAAAGAGTAGGGACCTCATGTGGGTAGGGCAGGGTGGGGCTTTTGTCCCCCCGCCCCGATTTTGCAGGTTTGATTTAATGCTATGTACTGTGGCACCTCCAGTAGTAAACACCTTAACAAGCCGGTCAAGTTTTGTTTTGAAGAGTTGAGAGGGATGAGGAGATAATCATAAATGATATTTAGCCTGTACCTTTGATTTTCAATCGGGTTTTCAGTATACAAGCTAAATGTCAGAAGCGTGGAAATAGAAGTTCGATTCCGAATTATTCCTGGATTTCATCTGAACATGAGAAATAAAATTAGTTGTTGTTTAGTGTCGACATAAAGATGTTACCATATTTTTAATGTTTTTCCACGTCTTTTAAATTTTAGACTTTTTTCCTTATTTGCTGCTACGTGTAAGCTGAAAAGTGAACGCATTGCTTGAAAGTTGTGTAATGTATCTCCCTCTTCCTCACTCTTTATCGTTTCGATTTTGTGCCCTCGCCGCTGCATTCAAAGTTGTCAGATTATTTTTTATATCCACATGATAATAATTGGGCCTCTTCAAAATCCAAGGGCCCCTGAGATGGCAGGGGTTGCCGTGCTATCGTGACCGCTCTGATTAAATTACATTTTGAAATACCTGACGAACTTTTCATAAAAAAAATTCCATCCATCTTTTGTTATTTACGGCAAACATCTGCTGTGGTCTCTTTGGGGACCTCTTCCATCAATGAGGTGTTCTTATACTAATGCTAAAGAAAACCAACTTTAGCATACAGTTTACTGCAAGTTATCAATAGCCCTTATATTTATTTGAATTCTTTATAAAAGTTATAGTGATAATGGATGAAAACGGCACACATTTTTTTTCTTACACCCGTTCATTTACGAGAAACTAAGTTCAATGTTTAATGGTATGTTATCAAGAAGTTTTATCCACAAAGTTTTTTTTTCAAATAACATTAAATTATATTTAAAGCATGATGTTAAAATTTTTATTGATTTTTTCCAACTTAATGGCCAAATATTATTATGCCATCTTTATTTTTGAGAATAGTCTTTTGAATGTTATTTGTGGGAAAAAAAAAGAGAATCTGAAATTTCTTGTAAAATAGAAAATAAAAGACTATAAATGTCATTAATTTTATCTTTTTCATTTGCTTAATTAGCCAATCTAATTTTCTTTATTTTTAAGGATTAGTGACGTGGGAAGGTTTGAAGGGATTTTTCATAAATAAAAAGTCTAATCAAGGGGTATGGGAGAAAAAGATGGGCACTGCTTTTCCAGAGACAAAATCTTGTACAGTACACATAGTCTCAAAATCCTTGTACAAAAATTTAAATAATCTATATTATAATGAATATAACTAAGGCCTACGCAAACTATGTAAAGCTTAAATAGTTGTAAGTGGAATGGTTTATTACTATTTACATAAGTAATCATTTTTTTTCCATCCATCTTTTCTTCACGCTATCTGAATAGGTTCTCAATCCTTAACAACAGGCATTTGTAAATTTTAAAATGTAAAAGAGATATAATTTTGTCACCATTGAGTCTATTATGACTTTCAGCTTGTATTGTATTAGCATTAGCCTTACAGTTAGCATACATGGTACAGGCTTGACATTGCCTCATAGGTTTATATTTAAAGCCTTAAACAATATGTGTAATGTAGACGTTTTATTAAAATGAGGCTAGTCTTTTTATTGCAATTTGAGACTATACATTTGGAGCACTGACTAACTACTTTTGTAAAGAACAGGTAGACAGATGATATGAGACTCTTCTCATTATACACCTTATTGAATTTTTGTTGTTTATGGCCTGCAATTTGTATAATTTAAATGTACCTTATGATGCTTATGAACGCTGCACTATTTTTATTCCATGTCTACCTTATTATTATTTGATTAAACTGTAAAATTTGTTTGCGAATTGTTAGATGTTTTTGGGATTAATAAAACTTCCTTTATCAAACAGATTTAAATAAAGGCTTACTTGATGGAAAACATTCAGTATGGTCACTTACATCTTTGGTGAATTACGCGAACCTGTAAAAAAAGAACTTTGAGTTTTTTTCAATGCGAAAGGTGGGATGAGGCCGCGGGAAGGGAACGGGATTAAATGAAGCATTCCCCGTTCATTCACTGGGAGAGATACAAAGATTTTTTAAAATACTTGTTAAAATTCATTCATTTATTTTCCAGGAATTCATGCTGTGTCGCACTGAAGAGAATGATCCCAGGAAATGTGTGCATGAAGGGAAGGAGGTAACTCGATGTGCCTTTAAATCCTTAGGCAAAATAAAGAAGTCCTGATTTGCAGAGTTCAAACAGTACATTCAGTGTATTGATCATTCTGGCAGTGAAAAGGAGTTTAAAAAGTGTTTTGTGTGTGGTTTATATTAATTTAAACTGTAGATTTTTTTTTCAAAATTTTAAAAGGGTGCATTAAAACTTGGTTGGCACGGACTGGTAACTAAGATGTTCTTTGACTCCTGCACTAAAGAAAAAGGTAGAATGAGAAAGATCTTTCATTGTGGTGTTCAAAGTTCAAGTTTTATATTTACACTAGCAATGAATTAATAAATGGGTCACTGAGTCACTGCCGAATCCAGGTTTGCTCAAGGCGCCTCACGTCTAATTCTAACTAGTGCAATATGACATAGTATGTTTTTTGTATATATATACATATATAAATTAATTAAAATAAGAAAAGCTCTTCGATAATTTTACGTAACGTGATCAAAGCATTATTCAGTTAAAATAAAATCTACAAAAACTTATGCAATTCTGAGACTGCTGCATTGCCCAAAAGTTTCAAACAACATTTTAAATAAAGAATAATTTCATTTTTTAAAATCCTTTTAGATTAACTTCACTTTTGTTCATTGCTGGCTGGTAAAATCTTGAGACTGTTAATTGACTCACTTTCTGTCAACCTATCGAGCTGAAACTTTGCACATTCTTTCTAAATTTCAGTCCCCTCACCACCTTTTTTGCAACTTCAAAAATCAAATTTTCCTTTATTTTCAAGGGGAAGATGAAGGAAATGTGATGCCACTGATTTCATGGAGTAAAATTACAAAGCTAAGTAAAGATCCTTATTTTAAAATCGCAGGAGTATTTGGTGCTTAATATTTTCTTTTGTTTTTCTGAAATATTTAGTGATTTAAAACTGCGGGACAAAAACGGGTGGGACTTTAGACTATTAATATAAAATAAATAATAAAAAAATGCATATAATGGATTACACGAAAATTTTCTTTTTAGTAGTTGTTTAATTCATCTCCCAAAGATTCAATTTTGGCATTCAATGTAGTTCTGAATTAGAAATAATGTAAAAAAAAATTTCAATACAAATAGTTTGTGGTAAATGATTTTGTATTCTATTAAATCACACAAAGCCGAGAGGGTGACATATCATCTTTGGAAAAAGTGGCATTTTCGATATTTTGTTACAATTGGTCCATTTCTTACAGTCGTCGGCAAACTCAGGCCACGTTCAAAATTTAGGACAGGACCGGCCCTAGATTGGTTATTTTGCTAAAGTGAGCCTTCACAAAACTAATCGGCCCAGGCCAGTCCCAGCTCCACACATTCTCCTGGAGCGTATGCCTGACCCTACTGACATTGATGACAAGACCTACGCAAGCAAAGGACCCAGAATTCAATGTGTTAATCATTAAGACCTCAATGTCTAGCAAATGTGTTGTTTGACGATTCAGTTGTTAAAGTACCTGTCTACACTGGAACAGCTTGTAACTTAAAATACATGTTTAGGAGGTCATTTTATAGGAGCCCATCCATTGAAGTGGCCAAGTTTGAGTTAACCTGGTATTGTTTGTGCTAATGAAGATATTAATAAGGGTGTTAATTGTGACAATAACGTTTAACCGTAAGTGTGTACAGAAACTTTTGCCGAGTATGTTAATGTGTAAGTTTGCGATTCTTCTTTTGTTCACCTTCAAACCCTGGGGCAAAGAATCAGTTATAGAGGCTAAATAAAAAAAAATGTTTAAAATTTAAAATGAATGTTATTGTGTTTTTCTTCGTTTTAAATATTAGTGTCTTTATCTTCTGTTATTTTCTGTATCACAGTTGTAGCTAGACGAAATTTCATTATTATTATTTTTAAGTTATTATCAACATTATAATTGGGAATTACTGAAACAATAAAATCACTAGGGTTATATACCTATTTGACTTTAAGTTTTTAAAAAAAAGTGACTATTAGGTCATTAGTTTCCAACAGACAGTTCCAGTTAACAAAAAACAAAAACAAGTTAAGTTGCAGTTTTTATTTATTGTTAAAATTTTTAAAGGCAGTGGACATGAAATATTATAGATTAAAATTTGATACTTCACAACATTCATTTACAAAAATACTATATCAATCAACATCTCTGTAATCACATGTAATAAACTGAAACAAATTCATAACAATGTAAGACACCTATGCGCATTTTGTGTGACATGTCTTCTTACACAC